TATTGGCCTGCTGATGGATGCACAGAGGCTGCGAACATGAGATTGGTTCATGTTTGTCTGGGCTATGATATCACTAACTCCTAAATGTTGTTGCCCATCACTTGCCAAAGTACTTGTTGCATGGCCTTTATATATTTCCATCAGAATGTGGGTGAACAGTGTCAGCTGTTACTGATGATTTGAACCCTGTCTCATCTTGGAAGTTTCTTGTTTTTGAGAATGCTTGGGGCACACAATGCACTCCGTTTTGTAGCTATTCTACTTATAGTAGCCCAGTGCTGCTTCCCTATATCTTTGTCATAGTTGGTCTACAGTGTGACATTGTGTTTACTTACAATATGTACTAGCCCTGCTGTGAGTGTAGATTTTCTTTATTTATTACAATACGATTAGAGTTCATGTAGTTGACAAATTAACTCAGAGCTTCTCATATCCAATATTACTGTGGTCTCTTGAGTTTTGACTAGGTTATGTACCCATATAAAGATTCTATCTTTATCTGTTTCTATCCCACTTGGAGCCACAGTTGGTCACCGAATGTAGGAAATTGGACGGATTTATGAACACTTTTTTAAAAAATGTAATGCTTGAACGAAGAAAGTTTAATGTAAATAAGTTTATGTTGCTTTCATTTCTGTTCAAAGTACTGTGCAATGCTGCCATGAAGTGACCATAGAGAAAGCAGTCAACTGCTTCATGAGGCAATGAGTAGTGGGGTGTTAACTGTGTGGTATTAACACATATACTATATGGAGAGATCTTTTGATTTGTTTTAATATTTGTTTTGCAGTAAAATAACAGCAGATACAATGTCTTCAAGCTGTAGCATAGTTGGGGTAAAGCTGTGAAAAAGCCAAGCAATAAGCACTGATTACACACTGGCCTGGAACTCTTCTTTTTTTAATATATATATGTAAAATGTAAATGTCTAATTCCAGCTACAGTTTTAAATACATACACTGTCATCTGTTATTGCAAAAAAAAAGTTAAATAAATGTAAAACATTCTGGTAGTTGTGTATACACTTCATAATTACTATAAATGAATGTGTACATTGTATGTTCCATTTCATGTGACAAATATATTTGTGCAAGGATCGTGTATACTATTTTATACTTCACCATTGCATTCATACTCTTCATTTGATATATCCATCTTTTGCAGTGGAGGGGGGATGTTAAATAACACAACTTTTTATGATGTTAGTATTGATTACAATCTTGCACTCACAATCACAAATTAATGAGGTGGTGTGAAATCTGTTTTTAAGTGATTGTTGATGAATCTACAAATGCACAGCTAATAACACTTTTGGTGTGAACAAAACTTTTAACATTTAATCTGAAATTTCCTTTATTATCACACAAAAGATGTTCTTAAGAACGTGAAACATGTGTGATTGGGAGAGGTTTCCAGAATACCTGAACATATTTGAGCAAGGATCTCTCATCTCACGTGACCCTTCTGTACTTTTTCCTGTTTCTCAATCTGCACCGGTAAATCTTCCAAAGATTTACTGGTGTATGCAATATTTTTTTTAAAAAAAGCAGTTTGATGCTGTGCTGGGAGGATGGTATTCTGGAAAAATGAGAACAGGTGGACCAAACCATCTTCATCCAAACCAATCTTGTGAAACCTTTAAACCTTTTTTTGATTTGCTGGGTGTCTGACACATAGCCATGCTTAAGAATATCGAAGCCAGACTGAGATTTGCACATACAAGTATGACCTTGCACCTAGAAATTTCCCAGTGTCTGGAATGGAATACATTTGTTGTCCCTGGAGGGATGCACTCTGCTTACCTTATTGTGGAGAGTATTAGCTGAAGCTTGGGGGTCCCTATAGTGTGTTGACATACTGTTGGAGGTCTGCCGATGTCTGGTCCTTCATCAGCAGAGCCTTGGAATACTGTGGACTTGCCTGGCTCAGGAATCTGACTCCTGAGACCACTCCAGAGGATTTTTTTTTTGAGAAGAAATTATTACCCCCAGAAAAGCAATCCACCAATCAACAACAACAGAATTACATGTATAGAGCGCCTTTCACGTTGGGAGGACGTCCCAAGGCGCTGGACAGTCAGGGGTCAGGACCCAAGCATGGGGGAGGGGTGGGGTAGTGGTGAGGGAAGGCAGAGAGGTGGGAGGGCGACCGAAGGCACGGTCGAAGAGAAGGGTCTTCAGACTGGCCTTGAAGGAGGCAAGGGAGGAAGCGAGGTGAAGGGACCGTGGGATGGAGTTCCAGAGGGTGGGGGCAGAGAGGCTGAAAGCCCGGCCACCGATGGTAGGGTGGGTCGGGCGGGAGACATGGAGCAGACCGGAGCCCGCTGAATGGAGGGAGCGGGCAGGCTGGTAGGGAGTCAGCAGGTCAGAAAGGTAGGAGGGGGCAAGGCCATGGATGGCCTAAAGGTGAGGACGAGAATCTTGAACTCGATCCTCTGGGGGATGGGGAGGCAGTGGAGTCGGGCGAGGGTGGGAGTGATGGGGTCACGGAGCCTGGTGCGTGAGAGTAAACGAGCCGCGGAGTTTTGGATGGTCTGCAGCTTGTGAAGGGAAGAGTTTGGAAGGCCGATGAGGAATTACCTGTGAGCTTCCTGGTGAGCAGCACAACGTAGCCAATGAAATGTGTGAGAACAATGCCACCATCTTTCTGCCCACAGCTTGGACACATATCCTTTCCCATATAATTCCCAGTAGTTCTAGGAGGTGCAGAGCCTGAGCAGCAGCTGCTTACTGTCTGGATACCAACCAAGGTGGAATCCAAGCCCCTGTGAACCTGTGTTCACAAATCCAGGCTCCAGTTAATGCCCTCTGGCAGCTGTTGAATTTTCCTTATCAGCTGTTTTACAGATATCTGCCTTCACATTGGTGGGAGGACCGACACAGGACAATTTGTAACATGCCAGCCACCTTGATGTTTTGGAATCAATATCCAATTCTGCATATCAGCTTTACACAATTTAACTACTTTTCGGTCCTCACGTGAGGGACTTTGGCAAATGCACGTACTTGCCATGAAGCTGACTACACCTAAAAGGTACCGAACAGATCAATGTGGACTAGAGCCTTCCTTCCCCCCTGCAGCCACTTCCCATTTTACCACAAATGCACCTCACCCTTTGGTCCATTTACTTTGTAAACAGATAAAAGAAACCCATCCACTGCATGCCTTGTAGCTTGGAACCACAAACGAGAACTGTTTTGGACACATGTCTTATACACCACATGCTTAACTTACATAGGAACTTTGCTATCATTGAAGAGGGACAGTGTACAAAGCAAAAGTTGGTGTCCACAACACCAAGTTACCGATATGAATCAAATTTTGGGATGATTTCCCTTGCGTCTTCTAGTCAAATGCAAAGATTATTTTTAAGCAATACCTTCAAGGATCTCCCTCTTGAGCCATTCAAGACCATGTACTGAAATTGAGGGCAGTACCACCATGTCCCACTGAAGTGTTTAAAATAATGAGTGCAGTGTACAAGATCTCCAGGTGAGTCTATCTAGATTGCAATATCATCTGCAAACAGAAGTACCCTAATCCTTTTATATATCTGGAACAGATGCACTAAGTCCTTTCTCAATGCTGTCCAATAAATTATTAATGAATACATCAAATACGATGGGTGATGGTGGACAACCTTGCCTTACTCCCTTTCGAGAAGGATACTCACCCGCACAAACCTCTACTCTTATCACACCAGTCCTTACCAGGCTCCACTGGCTTCCAATCACTGAACCGATTGACTTCAAGATTCTTTCACTCGTTTTCAAATCTCTTCATTCCCTCACACCCCCACTAACATATCAGACCTCCCACTCCACCACCCGCTGCCTCCGCTCGGCTGGCTCCAGCTTCATAATTGTCCCCCATGCACTCCGCTCCACCATCCCGCCTAAAGACCTTCCTTTTCGATCGTGCTAACTATCATCTCCCCCCTCCCCTTGGCTTGTTGTCAGACTCCACCACTGTCAAGCACTGCAGGATGCTACCTTGTGTGAAGGGCGCTATATAAATGCAAGTTGCTGTTGGATAGGCTCCATGAGTCTCCCACTAACCCTTACAAGGAATACACATACTAGATGAAATCTGAGATTTGACCACATATTCTTACAGCTTACAGCTTTTTTTTAATGGGGCATTAGGATGTGATGTATATGGATTTTCAGAAGTCTCTGATAAGGTATTACATAAGAGGCTTGTTAAAATGAGCCGTTAATCAACTTTCTATCTATGCTACCCTATTTCCATTAATACCATGCACCTTGATTGTTTTAACAAGCCTTTATAAATAATTAGCACGTCCTGCATGTTTCCTCCCCCGCCCCCCACACACATACACACGTGATTTTAATCAATATCAAAGTACAACTATTTTGAACAAAACGGTTTATTATGCTCTTCTCGTTTCATTCAATCCAATTAAATTATACTTTGTCTCTTCAAAACAATTATTAGATTACTTTTATTAATTTAACTCATCGTGATTATTTGAGAGAGATTATAGACCACAGAAAAATAACATGCACCCCTGCTAAAGATTATGTGCATTGGTACAAATTATAACCAGTCTAGAAAAAACATTTTAAATATGACTTGTTTCCAATCAGGAATATACAATATAAAGGTTGTAATCATTCACGTTTGAGTTTTCAACTAAATTAAATAAATGTTGAAATATATGCAGTTAACCAGCAGTTAACACTGCTAAATTTCTGATAGAAATTCATCAAATTAACTGACAAACAACTCATTGACATCTGTAAATTACTATGCAAACAAACTGCACTGATTAAATGAAATCCATTAAAATAAATCATTAAAGTGAAAGTTAATATATGTATTGGCATTGGACCGCAGCAAAGTACAAGTTGAATTTATATATAATAATAATCCTTGCATTTGATATAACACCTTATTACACCCTCGAGATATCTCAAAGCACTTCACAGGATGTACTGTAAAGTGGATTGACTTGTATTTTGTGGGCGAACAAGGCAGCCGGTTTGCACACAACATTGTCCCAGAAACAGCCATGGAGTGAGAATAAAGAATAAAGGAAAGATTGAGGCACGAAAATTAAATAAAATGCATCTGGCTAGCAGGTCCCGGGACCCATTATTGTATTTAACTTGTCCCCACCCCCCAACACCAGACTTAGTGGAAATGCATAAAACATATTTTTGGGGTTTGCAGTGTTCCACTCTCTTTGCAAAAATAAATTTTCATCACAAAACTTGTTTTTTTGATGAGTGAAGGCCACTATATAAATGCAAGTTGTTGTTGATTGTTTCAATTCTTTTTTAGACAACACAAAAGGCTGACAGGTCACTATGGATTACACTACCATTCATATGCGCAAGTGACATCCATGGCCAACTGATGACCAGGAAGTCAGACATTTTCTCAGTTGAACATATTGATCACAAATACAAAAAAAACTTATTTTATCGTCAATTTTTTTTTTTTTTACCAACCCTGCTTATATAGTGCCTTGTTATGTAGAATGAATGAATGTCTCCAAGTGTATTACAATGAAGAATAGGAGCAGGAAGGGAAGGAGGTGAGAGTTTATTAATGCTGGCCAAAGGCACGATCAGAATAAGAGATATTTGAGAAGGATTTGATACTAGGGAAAGAAGATCTAAAGGAAATAACAAGGTATGAGGAGGTATGAAGAGGAGAATAGGACTGCAAGAGATCTCAGAGATGAGGGTAGAGCAAGATCATGAAGGGATTTGAAAGTCACGTTGAGGATCTTGAAGTCAATCCACTGGGGTTTGCAAACAAACAGTTCTCACCAGCATTATTCTGAAAAATAAAGAATAATGCTGAATGATTTTAATTCCACATTGCTGATTCCTTTATTGCCTCAGTTCATGAATTTTCATCTCTTTACATGGTTCATCCCATTTGTATTCACATTATGTTTGGTGAGTCGAGTGACATATGAAAACCCATTACCATGCTTAAGAGTGTGCAAGCTAGAATGAGAACTGCATGCATGCCACCCACTGATGGAAAACCCCATGTTTGGAAAGGAATGCACACTCTCCTCCTGGAGGGATGCCTCCTGCTTACCTAATTCTGGAAAGTATTAGGCACATGTTGGCAAAAGTCTGTCCCTCCAAGTCCTGCTGACCAGCCAGCTTGGCTGTCATCAACAGTGCCCTGGAGTACTGCAGACCTGCCTGGCTCAGGAACCGGACTACAGAGACCACTGCAGAGGTTGACTCGATTTTGACATTCTGTTGCCAAACATGGCATGTTGGAGCGAGCTCAGCTCCAAGAAGACTCTGTTTACCTTCCCAACCTCTCCCAAGAAAGATAGTCACTTGTTGGTCATTTGACATCTGCCAAGTGCAGGGTTGAGCCCTCACCAGGTGGATGGCAGATACCAAGATCTCCTTGTGAGCTTCCTGTTGGCAACACGGCTCAGCGTGAACTGTGAGAGCATTGTTACAATCATCTTGCCTACAGCTCAGACACACATCTCCACCCAATTGAGCGATGCTTTCACCAGTTGGAGGTGCAGAGTTTGAGCAAAGCTGCTGGCCTCTCTGTAAACCAATCAAGGTGGATTCCAAGCCTTTGATATATGAGCATGTGTTCACAAACCCGGACTGCAGGTAAAACCTTCCAGCAGCTATCATCCCAAGTTTCAAAATGTCCTCATCAGCTATCTGATTTACACGCACATCTTGTGATTTCATTGTTGTAGTTAGGATTGTTTCCTTTCCTTTGTATGTGTGAAAATGATAAATATTTAGAATCAAAAAGTATACGTACGTATTCATCCTCTATTCCATAAACCGTTTTTGGTCAGTCAACAAAATAATCATAGAAATAACAAAATAGCATAGATTTATGCCATAAATCAGGAAATATTCAATCAAGAAACATTTATTTTGTTGGCCAACCAAAGAGATTGTCCACCGTTGCCAATAAACTTTACCTTGTAGTCCCAAAGCATGTTTTATTTCTAGATAGGAAAACCTGCCGTCATTATTTTCATCAAATGGTTTAATTTCTTCTTCTTGCGGTACACGTTCCCCTAGATTATTCATGAGGTCCTCATATGTTAAGTAGCCACGAGCAGCCCAATCTGCTTGATAAAAGAAGGACTGGAGTGCTGTTAGAAGACAAGAGCCATACATATTGATTGCAAAGGTATTTCTCATGTTGTGAGATTCTCAGATTAATTGATCTCGATTTATAAGAGCAGTAACATTAAAAACAAGTGAGCTCCTCCGATGGACTGGTAAAATCACTGTCTGATATGAAAAGTGAGCCATGCACGATGATACCATTCATTATGATGAGAATGACGTATTGTAAATCAAAAAATGCACAGTTAGTTGATCTCAATCGGTTCCAGTAGAGAGAACTATTATTGACTTTGGTTAACCTAGCCTAGGGAGGCGGAGAAAACAATTTCTGCTGGAAACTGTTCAAGTAAAGATTATTGGATCTTTGCTATTATAACACTGTATTGTACATCAATCACTGCTTCCATAGGTTGTCACCTTGACAGTTTCATATTTGAAGAATAGCCATTTGGCCAAGGTACCAGAGCCCTGATAGCCACTGAATTACATCCTAGCATGTGTCATCATATTCAACACACACTACACGTGACAGTTGTTACTGTAAAATGAATTCATTTGTTTTGACGTAAAACACTTTTAATTGTAACACGTTTCTGTGGGAACCAACTGAAAACCTGAAAATGCTCAGAATCTGAATTGTTTCATATAAAAATATGCTGGAAATTCACAGCTGGTGAATTGCAAGACTAATAGGTTTCAAATATCCACCTTGACCAGAAAGTGACATGGTACTTGGGGATAAGAACATAAGAACTTAAGAATTAGGAGCAGGAGTAGGCCATTTGCCCCATTCAATAATATCCTGGCTGATCTATTCTAACTCCACCTACCCGCCTTATCCCCATATCCCTTAATCCCTTTATCCACAAGAAACCTATCGATCTCAGTCTTGAATATGTTCAATGACTGAGCATCTACAGTCCTTTGGGGTAGAGAATTCCATAAATTCACTACCCTCTGAGTGAAGAAGTTTTTCCTCAATTCAATGCGAAAGGGCTTACCCCTAATTTTAAGACTGTGACCCCTGGTTATAGTTTCTCCAACCAGGGGAAAAAGTCTCCCACTATCTATTCTGTCATGCCCCTTAATAATCTTATAGGTTTCTATAAGATCACCTCTCACTCTTCCATATTCTAGAGAATATAGGCCTAAATTGCTCAACCTATCCTCATAACTCATCCCCCTCATCCCCGGTACCAGCCTAGTGAATCTATGCTGTACTCCCTCCAAGGCAAGTACATCCTTTCTTAAATAAGGAGACCAAAACTACACACAATACTCTAGGTAGGTCTCCCCAGGGCCCTACACAGTTGCTGCAACTTCTCTACTCTTATACTCTAACCCTTTGCTAACAAATGCCAACATACCATTAGCCTTCCTAATTGCTTGCTGTACTTGCAAACTAACTTTTTGTGACTGGTGTATACAAGGACACCCAAGTCCCTCTGAATGCTAACACTATCTAGTCTCTCAGTTCCAATGAAAGGCAACACCTGAAATAACTACCTGTACTTCTCTCTCAGATGCTGATCAGCCTGTCGTGGATTTTAAGAACTGCCTGTGCTGTTTCACAAGTCATTCTACTGAAAATGAAGCCGCTGAGCAGTAACTTACTATAGCTTGGGACATGCTGCAAATGCACTGCCACAGTACCTGAAGGGTTAATTGACAACACTTACACATTTTAATAATCCCCCCCATAAAATGGTCAGTCAATCCACAACTGTCTTTGGGACACTGCTGTGCGCAATTGGCTGCTGCATTTTGCCCACAAAATATACAGTCAATTTACAGTATATTCTGTGAAGCGCTTTGAGATGACTTGAAGACATGATAAGGCGTTTATCAAATGCAAGAATTATTATTATATTAATCTAGCACTCACCTCTCAGACTCTTTATCGAGGAAATCACAACAACATTTGTGACAGATGGCTTCCTTGTGAAACTCTCTGTAGTTGCTTGTCTCATCTGGACATCTGGAACTGAAGTAACAAATTAGATTGAAAATGTTTACCCAGATCAATGTAAAGCTTAAAATATGTTATTCCTTATGTTGGATCTTTCCTACTGCGCAATGATGAGCTGGTGAACTAATAATAATAATAATTGCATTTGGTATAGTGTCTTCCATGTCAAGAAGATGTCTCAAAGCTCTTCACGGGATTTACTGTAATGTGTAGTGGCTGTATATTTTTGTAGCCAAACTTAAATATTGTTGAAAAGAAGCTTAAGACACTCAGATTAAAATGGACCTCTATCATCATAAGTTCATCATAACTTGGTTATTGTCATATTAACAATATTGCAGTGTGGTTTGGGAGTAAAGGGAAATAGAGGCTGTCCGAAAAGTCCAAGTTTGAGAGCCTGTACCAGTGTGCTAGTTCTCACTGGTAACACATTAGTGTGTAGCACAAGAATCGCTCCCCTTGGAGTGCTGTGTCGCATGTGCTGTTAATATTAAAGTAATGATTGGACCTTTGCTATTAAACACAGTTTTGTGCATCAATCACTGCTTCCATAAGTTGTTACCTTGTTGATGTTTCCTCTCATAGCCTATTGGTGATGTACTATCAGTAGTCTCAGTCTGTCGGAGGTGAATATGTGGTAGTTTCAAAGTGAAATTGTGGCATGTCTGAGTCAGTTTGATTTGTACGATTCAGAGCATTGTCTTCCTGATAGAACTCATCTCTCAGCTGGGAGATTTGCTGGTAGACATTATCCAGTCTCTAAAGTAAATAGAGAGCAAATTAAACACCTAAGGACCATTCAAGATGTTTTTCAACCATAAAATAAAAAGCCATTTTCATTTTCATTGATGTCAATGAAAGAGAGAATATTGAGGACAAAAAATCAGTTCCAAAAAAAGGGCACGTTTGGTGTAAATTGGTAACAAAAAAATCTCACTCACACTGGGTTCAAAAATTACATGCGAACATGTGGTTTACAGCTGCACCGTGATGTACATGCATCCAGAAACCCCAAATGCCAAAAAAAAACACAATTGTAATGTCAGGGATAAAATCACCCTTTACCAATCGACTATTACCAAAAAATCCAGGTATTTATTGATGAAAATCAAGGAAAAAAATTGACGTTAAAAGATCCCTATAAACACAGTATATTTGAAAATACGTTGATGCAGAAGCTTAATTTACAGTATTGTGGTCAAGACTTAATCCCAAGGTGGCTGATATGTATATCTAAGTTTTGGGTCAATCCAATAGCAGTAGGAAAGATTTAATCAATGCTCAGAATGCCTGACAAAGATGTAGCATCATATAGACCTTATTCCTGTTGTCCTGAAGAAAGTTCAGATCCTATCTGAGCACGGGAACAATCGTTCCTAGTTACATTGTTAACCCATGTTTGTATATTTGTTTCTGCAGAGAAAATATGGTTCAAATGTTATCCTTGTCTCAACTTGTAAGACTATTTTGTCTTAAAATTTATGATTTATGTTTGAACCGAATTGTGTAAAATTCTTAAATTCAGCCTTAATTTGGAAGTTGGTTCTTTTTCACTAGGATGGAAATCCGGTTTCCCAAACCAAGGCTGCACTTAAGAATCATCCACGATTTTATGCAAACCTAAATTTAAAATGCAATAGACATACTTGGAGGAATTTCTGGCCTTCTGTGTGGTCACTAATCCTCACGCTCTGTGACTTTGTATTGAATTGATCCAATTGCCTAGTATGTATCCTTGAAATACTTCCAAAAAACAATGTATGTTTGGTAATAGCCACTAGAATGTATGCTTTACAATACGTATAACATTTTAATAAGGGTTGTAGACTGACACGTAGAAACAATATTAAAATAGTACTAACCTGATCCAGTTGGATTTGGAGAGTTTTCAAATCATCGGAGCCATTTTGTACTTTTCTTACTGATTCTTCAAACTGGTAGAGTTCATTGGCCTGAACAAAAAGTGAACATTTTTATTTTACATCATGGCAGAAACCTGGCTATATAGTTTGTTGAAAATCGTGCTCAGGCCAGGGAGAGGACAATCTCCATCTTTCTTCACCAGAATGTGGTTGAAAAATAATAATAAAAATAAACAAACAAAAAAATCGAAACCAGTTCTACCAATCAGAATTGAAAAAAAATCTTGTTGCTTCATTTTAAATCGCCCACAAAACGTATCGTCACTCCACTTTACTATATTACCTTGTGAAGCGCTTTGGGATGTCCTCTTGACATGAAAGGCACAATACCAAATGCAAAGATTATTTCATTTATTATTAATAATAAATCAAAATAGCATTGATCAAGCAGAAAAGAAAGGGTGGTGGTGGTGGTGGGGGGGCGGGGGGGGTGCGGGGTTGGGAGAGAAGCATTCTCCAGTATCTGGAGAGATGTTCTGTCTTAGCCAATCATTTAGGGTTAGACACAAAATGATAATTATAACAATTATCACATTGAACACTTATGAACTGCAGCTAGCTTAAACTTAACACAACAACAACAGCTTGCATTTATATAGCGCCCTTTACATGGGATAGCGTCCAGAAATGCTTGACTAAGTCCACGTGTTACAGCCTGTGGTTGTAAAGAAGTATGCATTGCATCTTTGAGCTCTACAATAGAGACATGAGACATAGCCTCCAGCAGATTAGATTGCATGTGCTTTCATAATATTAATTGCGAGGCACCAGAAAATAGCCCCAGGCTGTGGCATTCTGTGTAGCTGCTTTGAATCAGACACGAATAGACAATTGTACAATACTTTGCATAGCTGAAAAGCAGGTACAGCAAGATTCATACAAATAACATCCAAAAATAATTTTAAAGAAAAATTGGCATTGAACCAACAACTAATTATAAACCATGTTATAAGGGCGACTTAAAAATCTTTGGGTAGAAGACAAAATATCGAGGTTAAAGATTTACTGCTGGGTCTGAAGGAAGGTAACTTTGTATACCAACTTAACTTATAGTTACAACTTGTAGTCTAGAAGACGTGAAAAGCGCTATATCAAATGCAAGTATTATTATTATTATAGAACTTTTTACATGTTAATCTTCACTTTCAAGTACCTAAACAATGCAGTAATGCAATGAGGAAAGCTAATTCATTGTTGGGATAAAAAGAACAGTAGCGAATACAGTAGTTGTGCTGAAGCATTTCTGATGGACTGGTTAGACTACATCACTGGAGTTTTATTGAATTGACTGTATATTTCGCCCACTAAATACAGTCAGTTCACTTTACAGTATATTATTCGATGAAGCACTTTGAACGTCTCGAATACGTGATCAGGCGCTATATCAAATGCCAGAATTATTATTATTATGTATTATTATATTCAGTTTTGATCACCACATTACAAACAGGATATAGAGTAACAGTAAAAGTTTACCTGATTGTACAGGATGCAGAAAGTTAGCTAGATTGAAAAATTCCATTCCCCAGCTTGGAAATCCCCTAATGAGTCTAATAACATCGCTAAGATCTTCACCACAAAGCACACAGTCACTATATTTTACAGCAAAATCCTGTGAAGTGCTTTGCTCTATTCTCCCAATGGGAAAGGCATATAACCAATGCAAGGATTATTATTGTTCATATCAATAAAACAGCATGGTCGCATTTTTCTTAGACATTTTTAATACAAAATCATAATTTTGCTTAATTATCCAAAATGTTCAAATATATATATTAGAATTTAAAGCTGCTGAATGGAATATTTCTTGTTATTCTTAATAATATTCCTTATTGCTCTTATTTGAATTGTAAAATGCTGCAGTTTAATGTACACATTCACATGCTGTTAAGGTACCTGTACTTCTCTGCACTTTAGATAACAATATGGCTATTTTGACAAAATCCGAAGACTGGATTTTGTCCAAGATTCTCACTGATAAATTGGCATAAGGTAGAATTTCAAAAGCAATTAATATACTGCATTCTACAGATATACTATATATGCATCCACATGCACAGTATCCAAATCCCAGATTTTAACAATGATGTTCTGTTCCAGCACCGTTTAGTCACTGCTAATGTTTACACCCCTGAGTAACAGGGTGTAGCTTTTAAACTCTGGTAATAAATAGTTGGTAAAAAGACTAAAGAATGACTTCCTTTCATATATTTTGGTAATTAAAGCAGGAACTCAGGCATACCAAATGGTAGGTTGCACTCACAATGGATTTCTGATTTTGAGTCAAGTATTGGCAGTGAGCTGTGTTCTGGAAGAGATCCAGAGCATATATCCATTTCCCCTTCAACTGGTAAGTGCAAACCTGATTATAAGTCCGCACTTTCTTTCAGTCTGTTCATTTGTTTCAAAAGATTAGTATTTTTTCCCTATCTTAATCTGTTCATTCCTTTGATCTTCTCTGACTGAAGCTTGTGCCCCTTTCCCTCTTGCTTACAATCCACCATGACCTCATTCCATGCCTTTGAGCGCATTTCCATCACTCAATGGATCTTTTGTTGTCTTCCTGCAGTGCCCAGAAATAACTCTTACACAACTCGTGTCTCAAGCAGCCCCTGCTCCTTTAATAAGGAGTTGCCTGTGCTTACACCCTCTTAGCCCTCTGAATCCTCTAATCTTTCCGCTCCAATCTGATTATGTGCATCCCTATTGTTGGAAAGTTAAGGTGACTTAAAACCATGAATATACAAGAGTGTTATCAGCTTCATCAGGATAAACGCTTCAGAAACTTGATACTAAACCTGTGTGTTTATGAGCCTTCTAAGGGTCAGCAAACTTGTTTCCATGGTGCTGAGTTTGCGGTGAGATCAGATATCAAGGTGTCAAATGCATGAATCTTTCCTTTTACTTGAGTGGAGCTGGAGACACTAGACTCATTCACTTTGTGGATGAATTCATACAGGCTGGAAAATTCCTGTAAAAGAAACACAGCAAAGTGGCTGGTCAAATAAGTTTTCTAATTTTTTAAAATATTATTGTAGAAGTATTCTGGATAAAAATACTCTACTTCCTACAAAAAGCCATTATACAGGTGATAGGATTAAGACTGAGAACTGCTGTATTACTCTGAGCCTAGCAAGTATATATCAAAGTTAATATCAATAGAAATCTGATGCACACACATAAGATGTCTCAGAAGGCAGCCTCGCCTTGGAGTCAAAAGGTTCAAGCCCCACATCAGGACTTTGAATTCCCATACTCAAGGATGACACTCCAGTGTAGTGCTGGAGGTGCACTTCTTTGTTGGAGGTGCCATTCTTTGGGTAAGGTGGTAAACTGAGGTCAGGTTTGCCTATTTAGGTAGAAGTTGAAGATCCAACGGCACAATTTGAAAAGAGAAGGAAGTTTCTCCTGGTGTCTTGGCTAAAAATCCTCCAAATAAAATTGATCATTCACTACATGGCTGTTTGTGGGACTCTACTGTGCGAAAAATTGACTGCTGCATTCACCTACAAAATACTCTGCTCTTTACAGTATATCTTGTCAAGCGGTTTAAGACATTCTCTTGCCATGAAAGAAAGGTGCTATATCAAATGTAAGGATTACTATTTTTAATTAAGATACCACAGAGAGAGAGTGTCTTGCCACCTCAAGACTGCTCATAATTAAATGTCTGGGTCTACATCCCAATTGCATGATAAACAACCCCATATATTTTAATGAAACACTTTATAACAGAGAGCTACGTAATCAAATAAAGCTACATTATTCCTTTTTTAAACTAAACTAAGCCACAAAAATCACCCATGCATTTGTCTGTCAACTATTGTCTCTGGCAACTTTCCTTTAATGGCAATTCAAGCATTTCTTTTAATAACATTGATTTGTACAAAGATAGTAATAAATGACTCCTTCTTTCTAAGCACTTTTTCAGCTTTAATGTAGAAGGTGGTTGCAATGGAACAAAACTAATTTCATTTTATATTAGTTAGCATTGACTTGCTGCACGTGCCACATTTTTTTCTATATAACAAATCACCAAATCTATACGAGGGACAGCATAGATTTATTGTGTTTAATAAAACAGCAAGGAGAACTCTTTCAATTTTCGTATCAAAGTCCAGTACAACGTGTTGGTTGGATCCATAAATCTTTGCAATGAGGTCCGTGGGTTTCACTATACAAGCAGGAAGCGATGTTGACGTCAACCTTACTGATCTGGATGTCAGCACAGAGTGATCGAGCTCCACACACACGCAGATGAATGGGCTCCACAGTGCAACTGTGTTATAATTGAATTTGTGCAATAAAGAAAGCCCTTATAATGGGGTCACACTGTATCTTTATTTGGTCAAACATCAACAGGAGTACCTATCATACAGTTTAAAAATCGTATTATCTGACTAAATAGGGGGCTGTTATCTTGTATAAATACATTGTGGTGGATTGATTTGATTCAAAACAGCTGCCTTATTCTACCCTTTACTTGTTGTGGTGTATTTTATTTGTTTAGATGTCAGAGATGATACAGGCTGAATTAACATGGCACCCAGGCATCAGCAACTCAATTCAATTGAACATAACCAGATTTTCCTCTCTCAATTCTACTTCTTACACAGTAGAACACCTTATACCTGCACACTAACTATCGCATGTCTACTTATCCACATTGGGCTCTGATGCGGAAATAAATGTGGAGCTGTGATACTGACAAAAACATTCAGTTGCTCGCACAAGTGTGAGGTTATTCATGTGGAATCTACTCCCACAGCTACGAAATGTGGGTTTAGCAACATCATGCACATTCTTTCCCCCCACATTATGAAGATGTTTCGCTGTGTAAAGTGGGTTAGAGGCAGAGAAAGAAACAGAGATAGAAAAAGGAATAGTCATAGACAGAGTGAGGGGCATAGAGAAAGTTATTGAGAGATAGAAATTTAGACAGACTCAGAAAGATAGCGACTCAAAGAGAAAAAGAGAGAAACATTTGGAGAGAAAGAGACAGAGAGAGTGAGAAGGATTGGCACAGTGAGGTACTATAGAGTCAACTCTTGACAAACAATTTTTTAAAGTTAACATCATAGTTAATTTGTATTTTATGTGATGTTCAATTATCCACACTGTTTGCTTATCTTTAATTTTGATGCCAATTATTGCTAATAATCCACGCTTCACAACAAAAACAACAACTTGCATTTATATAGAGCCTTCTACGCAGTGGCGCAGAATGCTTAATAGCAACGGAGCCTGACTTCGAGCTGGGTGGGTGGGGGAGGTGTGGGTGTTGGTGGCCATAAACACGGAAGAAGAGGAAGGTTTTCAGGTGGGACTTGAAAAAGGGGAGAGAGGGGGCAAGGCGGCGGGATTGAGGGGGAGTTTTCCAGAGTTTCGGAGTTTAGTGACTGAAAGCGCGACCTGCAATGATGGGGCAGAGAAAATATTTAACCTCGGGATCGTAGAAATTTGCAACAGAGAATGCTGGTGGCTGTTCTATCTACTCCAGTCCCATTCCCCTAACCTTTTCCTTCCGTCATTAAAAGTCCACCTCAAGCCCGCACTTTTAGTCATCTTTTCCCTCCCCACCTCTTTGGCTCCCACCTCTCAGGCCTGATGTCCCTAAAGCAGTGTCAAGTCTTTGAGACATTCTCCTAATGTAAAAGGCACTATATACATGTAAATTGTATTTAATAAATGGAAATATAAGTTGCATTGTATTCAAATTAATTCGGCAGAAGGAAATGAAGAGAATAGATTATTAAAGCTAATGGCTTGAAGCACCATAATGCACAATTAATTGGCCCAAATGTCAAGCACTGGTAAAAGAAGCAATTTAACCCTAAAGTCAATTTAAATGAAACAAAAGCAAAATGCTGCAGACGTGGAAAATTTCAAATAAAAACAGAATTGCATCAGAAAGAGAAAGATGGGCTGGCATTTTGGGCATAACTGTTCACCAGAGCTGATGTGCAGGAGGCCATATTGGGCAGAAGGACACAATGCAAAGACAAATCTTTTCCAGTAATTCCACTGTCCTTTCATTTCAAAGCAGCCAAATTGAGGGCCACATATAATGAAAACACACTACAAGTCTGTTACCTGGTCATCAGTCATTTTATTCATTCTCTCCACATTGTCCTTTAACTCTTCACGTTCAGCTTGCAGTAAGCCCAGCTCTCCTCTGATATGAATAATGTCATCCTCCAGAGTGCTAATTTTCTGTTATAATAAATGCATACAATTTGTGTCAATAATAACCCAAATTTTACTCAATAGATAACTTTCATCAGAACTATTGTGAAATTATAACATTTGCACACCATTCAAATGTCATTCACTACTGAAAGGCCATTCAGCTACCTAAATTCAGTCACTGGGCTCAACAGTAAATCCTGTTAAGTGATTTTGATGGCCTTCTATATGAAAGTGACTATGTCAAATACGAATTATTATTTATTATTACCATATAATTCTCTATATCATCCAATAAAGTAAACCATCATCTCACTTGTGGTTAAATCATAAACTGCACTAATCTGTATATTATTTGGAATAACACAGTTTGGAGTATGTCCCAAGACAGCAAACAATCCAATTGAGAGACCAATGATAAACCACTTGCATTTTGTTAGTGTTCAGGACATCAATTTATATAAAAAATGCTGATTTAAATCTGACAATTATGTTTTCAAATACTAGTCCCATATATCTCCTGTCAATCAACTAAACCCCCTGATAATAATAATAATAATAATAATCCTTGCATTTGATATAGCGCTTTTCACGTCGGGAGGACGTCCCAAAGCGCTTCACAGAACACACTGTAAAGTGAATTGACTGTATATTTGTGGGCGAACGCGGCAGCCAATTGCGCACAGCAATGTCCCACAAACAGTCGTAGATTGAAAATGACCAATTTAATTATTGTTTTTGGTTTTTTGGAGGGATTATTATTAGGCGTGTGGAGTAAGGAAACTTGCCCAAGGTTTCGCCCTCTGCCTGGAATTGAACTCAGGTCTCTCACTTGCAAAGCGAGTGCTCTAACCACTGAGCTACAGGACTCCACAAACTTGATAACTTGATACTACAAGGAGAAGGGCTCAGTGTATGTATGAATACATAAATAAATGTAGCTGGGATATTGACAGCATGGTGACTTAAATGATAGTGACAAGTTAAGCCAAGTTCAGGTTATCAGGAGGTTACAGTCAAATAATTGCTGAGCATTTATGAAGAAATAATTATTAAATTATTCATTTAGGGGATCCATATGGAGCTCATTGAGAGCTAGTGTCAATATAGATAGCCACCACCAACTAGATAAATTGACCAAAATAGAATAGATACCCTAACAATAATGTGAACGAGCAATATCAACGCTGTGACATAATGTCGTGAAGCAAATTGCACTGAATATGTAATTCCCAGTCCTCTATGAACTAGCACTGAGTGAGGCAATCCATAGGGCAGCCGCTTCAAAGTCTCTGCCAGACAGCTCATCAGCAAGTAGATTTGGACCTAATCGTTCACAGTCATATGGGGTTGGTGTTTTCCCCTCAGCCAGTTATCAACTGAGACATTGCCAGTAACATAAAATCTGACAATGTGATCGTTATCACTATTGTTGCATTTTCACCTGAACATTTCACCCACAAAATATACAGTCAATTCACTTACAGTATATTCTGTGAAGCACTTTGAGATGTCCCAAAAAAGCGCTATATCAAATGCAAAGATCATTATTATTATTACAGGCTTCACATACTGTACCTTGTCTATCATCGCTATATTATGTGGATGGTTCACATCTGATTCTGCATTTTGCAACTTTTTGCTTCGGGAAAGGGAAAATGTAATCTCCTCAAGCTGTAAAACAAATTATGTGAATGTGAAGAATTACAAACACAAATTATTTTCACCATTTTACAAGAAAGTCATTTTTAACAAAGGACCTTCAAGAAAAAGAAAAACAAGAAAATTAAAAAAAGAATACAAGCTACAGATGGGTAGCGTTTAAAATGCAAAAGATACAACAACAACAAATTGCATTCATAAGACTGTATTGTCTTCCCATTAGTGTATCAGATACATTTCTATGGCATGGTACAAATACGAATCTATACATGACATTTGAATGGAACATTATTTTTAAGGCAAAATTTCCTTAGGCAGCAATTAATTCTCCTGCTTAAAGTATAATATTGATCAGCAATCAGATAAATGGAATTATTTGTGCCCACAAAGGACAAACATCTCCCAGACAGATTTGTGCTCATATACCACAAGAGCTTTTCGGAAAATAATCATTGGCCCATTTTGATCTCATCCTTCCATCCCAACCACCCTCATATTCCAGTATTAAGCTGCTTGTGTATAGCTTGTTATGGGTTTACCTTCTCATATAAATCCTCCACTTTGGATTTCAGTTCCGCATTTCCTTCTCCAAGGCTCCCCTCGACAGAAGGCATCTTAACAGACTGCTGAGTGAGTTGTTCTGAGAGATGTCAACATAAAAAACAAACAAGCAATAAACGTGTCAAAAGAAGACTTTTAAAAGGAAACATTAAGTATGATATTTTCTGAAACAGAAACAGGCTATTTCAGACAGTATTCAAGATCCTGCATAAATGATCAACTAATAACCAAAATGCTGCAGATGCTGGAAATCTGAAACAAAAACAGAAGTCGCTGGGAATACTCAGAAGGTCAGGCAGCTTCTACAAAGAAAGGAAAGTGAGTCAATGTTTCAGGTCCACGATCCTTCGTCAGGTTGGGGCATATTGGGAGGGAGAGGCTTTTAAGGGCTAACAGAGAGGAAGGAGGCAGGACAAGGAAGACAAATGAGAAAATGGGGTAGAGGACAGGGGGTGATGGGTTAAAGAGGTGCTAATGATGCAAGTCAAAACAGATTGATAAAACAGGGGAATAGAGGTATTAATAATGCAGAACAAAGGTGGGTGGGGGTGGTGGGGAAGCAACAAAACAGGTAGACCAGAGAGAGAAAAGTGTCTCTGGGACCCAGATGATGTGGTAATGGTCACAGAAGAGGGGGTGGGGGAAGGTGAGGTGTTATGGCCTGAAATTATTGAAATCAATATTGAGGCCAGAGGGCTGTAAGGTCCTAGCAGGTAGATGAGGTGCTGTTCGTCGAGCTTGCGCTGTGCTCATTGGAACAACGCAGGAGACCATGGATGGAGAGGTCAGCGTGCGAGTGGGAGGGAGAGTTGAAGTGGCAAGAAACCGAAAGTTCAGGGTTGTGCTTGTGGACAGAACAGAGGTGTTCAGCAAATCAGTCACCCAATCTACGTTTCGTCTCCCCAGTGTAGAGGAGACCACATCGTGAGCAGTGAATGGAGTAAAGTGGAGTCCTGTAGCTCAGTGGTTAGAGCACTCGCTTTGCAAGCAAGAGACCTGAGTTCAATTCCAGGCAGAGGGCGAAACCTTGGGCAAGTTTTCTTACTCCACACGCCTAATAATAATCCCTCCAAAAAAACCAAAAAAAACAATAATAAATTGGTCATTTTCAATCTACGACTGTTTGTGGGACATTGCTGTGCGCAATTGGCTGCAGCATTCGCCCACAAATATACAGTCAATTCACTTTACAGTGTGTTCTGTGAAGTGCTTTGGGACATCCTCCCGACGTGAAAAAGCGCTATATCAAATGCAAAGATTATTATTATTATTATTACATTGGTGATAGTGCACAAAAATCACTGTTTAACTTGAAAACTGTGTTTGGGGCCCTGGACAGTGGTATGGGAGGAGGTGAAAGGGCAGGTATTGCATCTCCTGCACTTGGCATGGGAAGGTGCCAGGTGGAGGAGAGCAATTGTTGGTGGTGATGGAGGAATGAACCAGGGAGTCACAGAGGGAACTGTCCCTTTGGAATGCTGAGAGGGGAGGGGAGGGAAAAATATGTTTTTTGGTTGGATCATGCTGGAGATGCCGGAAATGGCCAAGAATTATTTGTTGGATGTTGAAGCTGGTGGATTGGATGGTGAGGACTCAGAAGAGGGGAGGGGGTGAGCAGAGTTAAGGGAAATAGAGCGGACACAGTCAAGGGCCCTGCCTACTACAATGGATGGGAATCCTCGGTCAAGGTAAAAGGAATACATTTCAGTTGTTCTGGTGTGAAAGGTGGTTTCATCAGAGCGGTAGAGGCGGAGGAACTGGGTAAAGGGAATGGAGTCTTTACAGGAGGTAGGGTGGGAGGAGGTATAGTCCAGGTAACTGTGGGAGTTGGTGGGATTGTAAAAGATATCTGTAGATATCTGTACAGATATCTTTTTCCCCCCCTTTGTTTGCATCATTAATACCTCTTTAATCCATCATTCCCTGTTCTCTACCCCATTTTCTCCTTTGTCTTCTTTGTCCTGCCTCCCACCTCTCTGTTAGTCCTTAACAGCCTCTCCCTCCCAACATGCCCCAGTTCTGACTTACTTTCCTTTTTCCATAGATGCTGTCTGATAGATGCTGAGTATTCCTAGCGACTTCTGTTAATAGCTATCCATCTTGGGAGAGGAGAAGGAAAGGAAAGTATGGTCTCCTAGGAACTGAGCTAGCAATAATAATAATATAATAATAATAATCCTTGTATTTGATATAGCACTTTATCACGTCTTCAAGACATCTCAAAGAGCTTCACTGAATATACTGTAAAGTGAATTGACTGTACAGTTTGTGGGTGAAACGTGGCAGCCAATTGTGCACAGCAGTGTCCCACAAACAGTCGTGGATTGAGTGACCAATTTATTAATTTTTTTGAAGGAATTATTTCCTTGCTAGGCACACAGAGGATCAGATAAGCCTCCACCACCCATCTTCAAAAAGCATGAGATACAGAGAATAGTTCCACTGAGAACTCGAAGCACATATATCTCCTCCTCCTTACTCATATGATAAACTATGAGTCTAGAAAGAGCAAGATTCAATGATCAATCATGACTGAAGATACACCCACCCACCTACTTGTTTTGGAATGGAATGTCAAAATGGAGACAACTCTGGTGGTCGCAGTTGAGTGGTTCCTGTGCCAGACTCCGCTGTAACTTCAAAGAATTACTGATGATAAACCAGTCAGTCTGGCACATCGGCAGGACTTGGAGGGGCAGTGATTCTTCCTTTTCAGCAACAATACACTAACAGGTGGAGCTAGCTGGACAAGCAGCTTGACAGACAGTGCTTCCAATGGCTGGTTAAACTCTAGCAGTACCCCTCATCCAATCTGTGGTCCCCACAGCCCGATTATTAGTGCATTTAATACTCTACTGAATTAGGTAAGCAGGGTGTCGCCATTGTGCATTCCTATCCAGACAGAGGGAAGGTTCCATGTATGATGTTCCATGCATATGTGCAACTCTCAGTTTGGTTTGGAAACTCTTGTGTAAGCCTGGTAACAGGTTTTCACACGTGCCAGAGAGATGAGAGAGAAAATAAATACATTAATAATGATTTTTTTTAAAATGAGAAAATAATCATTAAAACCTTTAATAAATAATAAAGGCGAAATGTGATGCTTCATAGAGTCATAGAATATTACAGCACAGAAGAAGACCATTCGGCCCATCGTTTATTTTAAAAATTATCACATTGAAGCTGTTGTGAAACATTTAATTATGTATCTTCAAAGAGCTCAGCGGTGAACTGTTTTAAGTCTGGGCTGTGGTTGCATTGATCTGCTGACATGAGTTATGAACCCTGCAGCAAATTTGATTTTAGATGTTGGTAACTAAGACTCAGCAAGTCACACAATGAGCTTTTAACAGGTTTTACTTTTTACTTTATGAAGAATATCATAATTAGCCTTTCAACTCCTCAAAGTATTATCAGAGCAACCTGTCTTGTCTAGCAACAACAAGTCAGTAAATTAAATTCCATTGATCTAGTACAAAGGAAGAGAGCCACCCTTCTTCTAAATGCAATTCTCAACTTTTCACCTGCTCAAATCTCGCTCATCCTTGGGACACCTTGAGGACTGTGCAGCAACAAAGTGCACCTATGTTCACCTAGATCAGGTGTACTGCTTATTTATCAGGGAAGAGTGTAATAATCAGGCACAAGTAATATGAAGGTAAGGATGAAAGAAAAGACAATTATCCATCCTTATTGCCTTTTCATTAGTACCACATACCAAACACCCACTATCAATGTTTCCTAGCACCAGAATATACCCACCTTCCTACTAAAGGATGTCATGCAACAGTGAAAGAACATCTCAGCGATGAAAAATTGTCTGACGATGTAATAAGGCTTATGTTAAACACAAGGAGTATTTATATTCAAGGATTATTATATACTGCCTCATTCGGGCAATGTTCTGCTTTCACAATTGGAGATTTATTTTGCAGCTCCAGAAAATATTATCACAATTCCAATGCTGATAGTAAAAGGACAAGTTATAAAGAAATACATTGCATTTCAAAACATTTCTTTATTCACTCTTACATTGGATGAAAAACGTTGTAAAACGATTTATCTTCATGATGCTGCAAAGTCATTGTATGTTGAGTTGCTAATATGTACTGCAGATACATATTAGTTGGGGCTTCAGTTATGTGGAGAAACGAGCGAAGCTGGGATTGTTCTCCTCAGAGCAGAGAAGTTGGCCTGGTTGTTGGCCTTAATGAAGTTAAGGTGACATTTAATAGAGGTGTTCAAAATGATGATAGGTTTTCATAGAGTAAATATTGAGAAACTAGTTCCACTGGTGGTTGGTTCGGTTGGTAACCAGGACACGAGATTTAAGATAATTGGCAAAGAACCAGAGTTCTTTGGCAGTGAGTTAAGCTGTGAGTTGTTACGATCTGGAATGCACTGCATGAAAGAATGGTGTAAACAGATTCAATAATAACTTTCAAAATGGAATATATAATAATAATTGGATAGATACTTGAAAAGAAAAGATTGCAATGCTATGGGGGAGTAGGACTAATTGGACAGCAATTTCAAAGATCTGGCACAGGCATGTGGGCGTGAAATTCTTCTTGCTGTTAAATACTAACTTTGATGATGGGTGCTTCTAGACTTGGACTATTCTTATGGTAACCCATGGTTATGCAGGTGTTTAATTTCTGCACAGCAGATTCATGTTTTTTTTAATTAATGAAGGGTAAATATTTTTACTCAGAGTATGGTATGTCCTCTGGCTGGAGTGGAGAGATATGAAGTAGTAGGAGTCAGGTGGTTGACAAATGAATCAGTTGCAGTCAGACAGTGTTCGGACTAAGTTCACCATCTTCCCACTTTTGTGTATGTATTTTCTAAAATTATTCATTATCTCTATTCGTATCTCTATTCATCTCTAAGGGTACGGTCTGATCCTATGTTATCATGTGGTGCAACCTGCACCATAATGTTATTATTTCACATTATCTCTGGCACGCCACTTGTACAAACAAAGGCTATGAGTCATTGACATGGAATTTCCATGTTTCCTAATCTGTTCTTCGTGGTAACTGTCTCATGCAGTAAATTATGAAATGCCACAAACTTCAGCCCAATTCAACTGACCCTTGTAGGGTGCAGAAACAAAATTATTTCCTGTACTGCATCGACCCACATATTCACATCTCTTTAAAGACATCTCTAAATTATCGAGGAGCTCAGAAATTGTTGGACCTCAACACAAGGAATGGGAAAAGATCCTCTTACATGCATAACTATTAGGATATTCCACCAGTTTGAAAATGTCAGTGCAATTTCATACAAGAAAGAGGCTGCTAGCTCTTTCCTAAAATTATCTCCAATATTCAGTAAATCTTCTTCTAAAAATGCACATGAATTTTTCAAATAAATCATTACGCTTTCAAATTTTGAGTCAAATACAAGTTCTCCAATAAAGCTTTCCTCAATTGAGGGGCAAAGTAGTTATCTTTGAATTGTGTGTCTGGGAATGAGTGTGAAAGCTCATACTACTCACGACAAGACTTGCTTCTGAAGTGAGCCAGCCTAGATTAAAATTCATGGATCATTAAATGACTCATGCAAGGATGACATATTTACTGACAAGTGGCAAATAATCTCTAAATGCTACTAAACTGCTGAAATAGTTTAAAATGAGAAAAAAAAGAGACTTTTTGTCAGCTGTCATTATCATTAAAACTAAAACACTATTCAGCAATATTTCAGCATTAGATTTCACATTGGTTGCAATTCTATTGCTGCAGAAATATACTGCTGCAAAATACTGAATCAACAGTATAGAGTCCTGTAGCTTAGTGGTTAGAGAACCCGCCTTGCAAGCGAGAGGACCTGGGTTAGATTCACAGGCGCGGTGAAGTTTCCTTACTAGACATGCCTCTGCTTAACTAGCAGTAAGTAGGAACTTGGTTGTTAGTCAATTGGTGGATCGCTTTTCCAGGGGGTAATAATCTCAAAAAAAGAATAATTTTGTCACTCAATCCATAACTGTTTGTGGGACACTGCTGTGAGCAATTGGCTGTCACATTTCGCCCACAAAATATACAGTCAATTGACTTTACAATATATTCTGTGAAGTGCTTTGAGACATCTAGAAGATGTGATGAGGCACTATATCAAATGCAAAGGTTATCTATCTATCTTCTACATATATTAATAAAACAACAATATCTGTCTGTGCTTCAAGAAGGTACTCAATAATCAATTGACATAGAGATATGAATTATACCTCATCGGAAAGGCCTTGCATCTGGGAATGACATGGGCATATTTGTTTTTGGGTATCTCCTATCGTTCATGAGTTATTTTCAATTTTGTGTTTTTCACTGCAGTTACACCTGGTGGCCGCCGAGTCAAAGTGACGCCGTGGCACCATGCGTTACAGAGCACCTGCGTATGTATTCACACACTGCAGTTACACCTGGTGGGAGTGCCGGCTGACTGTGGCGCTGTGGCATCCTGTGCCACAGAGCATACTCGTAGCCAAGTGGCGGGAACAAAATAAAGAACACAGATGAAGCTAAGCTAACAACAAAATTTAATTTTTAAGGCGCCAAATCCTCCCAAATGGAGTCCTCCCACAGGAGTCCTCCCACAGCAGTATAGATGAAGATGAAATGGCTCTGTGTGTCAATCTACATTCCATATTGGATCCTTTGCTTGCAAGTGCAGCTACTACAGGTACAGCTAGTGTTATTATAACAGGGGGTTGGCGGAGTTATAAAGCAGCTAGGCTGTGTTGTGCTTTGCCTAAGTGACTTGCATTGTTAAGGCATCTGCTATCCATACTGAAAGTTTATTATCAAAAACACAAAAGGTATTTTTTTTAAATGCCAGATAAAAATGCTGACACTGGATGATGAGAAAATTAAAAGCGTGAGATGAAAGTTTCGGACATATAATAAATGTGAACATTCCTTGATTTGATCTTATTGGTTGTGCTTACGCTTTGAAAGTTGAGGATAAATTAGTGGTGAATCAAAACATGTTCAGTATCATTTCTAATTATCATTTATTTTTGGTAACACATGCAAACTCGTCAACGTGCTTAAGAGACTTTAAATCAAGCTACTCAGCATTCCATATAGTCATGGTTTCCATTTGTCTGGGATGGAGTTTGTATTGTCTCCTTGCTTGGATGTTTGAGGTATGCATTGGGATAGTACTGGAGTCCAACTAAAACTGCACAGCTTGCCATTCCAAGCTTCTTTCTACTTGTCCAAATACAATCAAATTATCCTGTTAGGGGTGGAGATAAGCGGAGACTCCTTGAAGCAGAACTAGCTCCAAGGTGACATGCTTGGCAACGGACTGTCGGAATCGAGCCAGCCCCCTGTGGTGGTCTCGGTAGTCTGTTTCCTAGCCAGGCAGGTCTGCAGTATTCCAGGGCATTACTGATGGCAGCGCAACAAGTTTCGGCAGGACCTGGAAGGGCAGATCAGTCACTGGGGGCAGGGAGTCATCCCACTCAGCTCCTGTTAACCCTGCAAGCCAAAGCCCTAACGGGTAGGGTGGTCCTAGCAGGACAAACTTGTCAACCAGTCAATGGCAAGCGTTGCAGTGTTAGGTGGTTAGACACCAGCAGTTACCCCAACCCACACTCTGGGGTCCTCAAGCCTTGACTCTTACCAATCTGCACCTATTACTTTCCAGATTAGCTCAGCAGAATGTGTCCCATTCCATTCCAACAATCTATCTCTGGGATTTCCATGTGTAGGTGGGATGCATGGGATTCTCAGCTTGGTATGGATACTCTTAAGCAATGTGATGGGTTTCTGCATGTGTCAGATACCTTGCTGACCAAAAATAAATAGAACCAAACCACCCTTTAAGACTTTGGCTTGCAGGTTTAACGGGAGCTGGTTGTGAAGAATCACAGTACCAGTGTCTGTTCCTCCAATTCGCCAGACTGGCTGGTGTGTCATCAATGGTGAACTTCATTTTCACACAGAACGAGGTATGAAATGCCACTAATTTATCCCATGGTCTCTTTAGTTCAATACATTGAAGTAATTGGGTGTTCTAGTGTTCAACGTATCAATGATGATGAAATGTTTTCTTACCTTTTTGCTGTCTTGTCGTTTGTCCCACTTTTATTTTTGCTATTTCTCCATGCAGATTCAGCACGTACAAAAATAAACCCACTTGGGACAAGAGAAGCAATAAGATGAAGAAACTGTGACAAATCCATTGTGGCTGGCACCAAGCAAAGCATCTGAATCTGCTTGCTGAGTACCTTTTCCTATAACAGAAACAGAAGACAAAATAAAACAAAAGAGGTGAGCTACAAGCTTCCGCCCAGCAAGAGACACAAGTGAAATACATTTTAATGTGAAAGCACTATAAGTACACCGACAGTTACAGTTTCAAGGGGTATATCAGATCTCGACACTGAGGTACATGACTTGGATAAGATGTAAAACTGAGGTCCTATCTTGCTTGTTATGGTGGAAATTAAAGATTCTGTGCCATTATTTGAGGTTCTTCCAATGTCATGGCTATCAAAAATCTTCAGGTCTGACTAGTCATTTACCAATTAGTTTTACTGTTTGTGGTATCTTCCTGGTGAAAATCAGTTGTAATATAATAATAATAATAATCCTTGCAATTGATATAGTGCCTTATCATGTTGTTGAACTGTCTCAAAGTGCTTCACAGAATATATTATAAAGTGAATTGATGTGTAATTTTGGGTGAAAATGTGGCAGTCAATTGTACACAGCATGTCCCACAAACAATCATGGATTGAATTACCAATTTTTTTTGAGGGATTATTACCCCTGGAATGCAATCCGCCAATTGACAAACAACAGGTTCCCACTTATTGCTCGGTAAACAGAGGCATGAGGATTTGTTATAAACACATGGGGGAGAAATTCCATCTGCGTCTGAATCTGGGTCTGAAGCAGTACTGTATAATGTTACTTCCTCTACACTATGTTCTTTTCAAGTTGTAGGTTATGTGTCTGAGAACAATGCTATCACCTAATCTTTGTATAATAAATTGTATCTAGTTGGGAGGTGTAGTACTGGTAAATGATCTACTGTAAAAGAAGTAGTTTTTTTTATTGGAAAACAACATCAAAAGCTTGCATTCATAAAGCACCCTTCATCAGAGGGTAGTGTCTTGGAATGCTTAACAGCAGTTTGGTTTGACACCAATTTAATTTTGTTTCGAGCAAGATCTGTTGATATGCTCACAGCTGAGCACAGACTAATATTCTTTGCATTTGTTATAGCGTCTTTCACATCAGAAGGACTTTTCAAAAAGCTTCACAGGTTTTACTATAGAAAATAGAGGCTTGAAGGGGTATGGGGATAAGGCAGAGCAGTGATACAGTATGAACACCTTGCTCTGAGAGCCAGTGCATATTCAATGAGTCGAATACTACTAGTAGTAATAATCCTTGCTCCTTGCATTTGATATAGCACATTATCACGTCGTCAAGATGTCTCAAAGCACTTCACATATACTGTAAAGTGAATTAACTGTACATTTTGTTGGCAAAATGGCCTCTTTCTGTGCTGTAAATTCCTATGATTCTATGTTGTGACTATCATGTTCAAAACCCAGATGGCATAACCATTGGTACATAACTTTAAAACAAATTTTGACTTGGATAATACCTCTCACCCTGTTTGTTTTATGGTATCTACGCTAAAGCACTCGCTATTCTTCAAAATCTGAGCCAAGAGCTTAAGTGGTGCTATTGCTATGTTAAGTTACAAACTCAATGTCTGGAACATGTAGCAACATGTAGTTGGAATAATTTATAAATGTTACTCATTGAAATTCTGATGTGATTTATTTATTAGAAAGGTCAAAGTATTTATTGTTCCATGGTTTAGCCTGTTGTACACAGTATAAATATGTAACACAGACAACATTGCAGTGTTGTCTACCCCTTGCATTTACCTTCCCTCCCCCCATTTTAAGTAATTCCAGATAATAATAATCCTTTGATTGATATAGTGCCTTATCACATAGACAACAACAACTTGCATTTATATAGTGCCCCTCACGCATAGTAGCATCCCAGAGCAAAACTGCTTCAGAGGATGAAGAGTGTAGGGACTGTGTTTTTGTCGGCAAGGGGAGGCACCATCCATCCAGAGCCCTCCATCAGGTGCCAATCAAATCATAGAATCATAGAATTATAGCACACAGCACAGTTTTTCTATTTCGCACAGCAGTGATCCTTTCGGTCGGTATAAGTTAGAAGGATCAGTAGCACTATTGGATTGATAATTCTTCATGATGCACTTGTACAAATTAGGTCCAGTTCACAAAGAGGAGACTTTCACACAGAGTATAATGCACCTTGCTTCATGAAGGACAGTGCTCTTTGAGGACCTAACCACCATCCATACACTCTGATCAACAACAACAATTTGCATTTATATAACGCTCTTCACCCGGGTAGTGTCCCAGAGCGTTTGTATCATTATGGTTGGTGATCACAGGGTCATTATGTTACCATCCACTGTGAAGACTCTCCTGTATCTGATATGAAGATTAGCTGGAGGGAAACTCAACTGGCTGGATTTACTCATTCTAGCTTTTTTTAAACGAAAAATTACAGCTCCTTTTAACAGCTAGGCGCTGGACATTTTTACCAGAACAGAAATAAATATGTAAATCCTAAATGTATACCCAGTGTTTTGAGGCTGTTCTCAATTTCACAGGTTTGTTAGCTCGTGATTTTAAACGCTATTGATAGCTTTTCCACCATAATTTTATGTTCAACAGTTTTAAAAATGATTCTGGCTAAAGCAAAACACAATACTGCATCGAAATGGGGACATATCAGCCTGTCTGATAACATTGTTTTTCTTGTCTATTAATGCCCCAGATTTTAATTTGACTAACATAGCTTTAGCGGTGGAACGTGGGATCGTAGAAAGGGGTTACCTGGTTGGCTTTGACCGGATCAGATTTTTTGGAGGGGAAGAGGAAAAAAGTAATTTTACAATTAGCAGGCAGTAATCACAGGTAGTAACAGAGGCGATCAATGGCAATCCTAAAACCTGCGGGTGAATGACGATTTACTGCTTACCCATGCTGAGCATTCACTGAGGACAGTTTCATCTTGTTATACTCCTCGTTCTCACCGTCAGAGTCATCGCCCAGCAGGACATACTTCTCCTTAGTCTTCAACTCCGGCATTGGGGCTAGGAGATTTGCTTCTTGTAATTTGTGCTAGTTCACAGTCACACACCAGACTTCAGAGGGACTCGGCTCTATGCCACTTACAGCAATGCTCGCTAAGTTACACTGACTTTCTTTTAAAAGAAAGTGTAGCAGTTCGCAGTTGAGGGAGTGGAGAAACACCTGGATCAAGTTACCTGGAAACTCCACCTCCCGAGAACAGAACGATCAAGCAAACAAGCCAGACATCTTCCCCCACCCACCACCTTGCTCTCACACACATACATTCCTTTGTCACAGTTCAGTTCTGAAATGCTTGTGCTGCACTGTGTAGTAGTCAATCAATTATCCAAATACATACACATTGTGGGCAATTAGCCGGCTACAGATCAGTGGTATTTAAATATCCCCAAATGTCTTTATTTATTTGCAATGAACAGAATATACAGAATCACATTGAAGTTTTCCAACCCCAACTTTTTCCAGACCAGAGGCTTCCTCTGATTTGTTTTTTATCTTCTGTTTGTTTGGATTATATTCATTAAAAAAGTGTTTTGGTCAGCCGGGTGTCTGACACATGAGGCAATCCATCATCATCTTTAAGAGTATCTAAACCAACTTGAGAGTTGTTCCATGTATGCTATCTATGGATGGAAATCACCATGTCTGGAAAGAAACACTCTTTCCTCGGAGGGATGTATCCTATTTACATAATTTACATCCAGCTTAGACCACCCTACCATTGGAGCTTTGGTTAACTGAGTTAACGGAAGCTGAGTAGGAAGAGCCCCTGCGCTTGCTTAGATAATATGTATCTATAACTATATAATATTATTTAAGGGAAATGGGGAAGCCTGCCCTGTTAAGTGGGTTCTGCAAGATTCCAAGTTGCGGGAGCTGCTTGCAGCCCAGAGCTAACAAGCAGCCTGCAGAGTAAAATAACACGTGGGCGCTAGCGCGGGGAAAAAATCCTCGCAATGGCATGATACTGCGGGTGGAGCCACACACATCTATAAAGCAATGCTCGGCACTCCTCACGGTCGCTAACTAATGGTCGTTAACTGGTATGTACTGACGTGTACAGGACTTCTGTACAGTCAGAGCTAGTTTCATGTTCCTTTACTAATGTGGTATTGTGCTGCCAGTTGTTATAGTTATTTGTGATTGTTATATTTGCGCCCAATTGTTGCATATCTTCCATTGCTGTGTTCCTTATATGCAAGGTAGCCTAAGGTTGCTAGGTTTTAATAAAAAGCTGTTGTTTCCACCGAATGTTTCCTCAAGTCTCTGTAGCATTCTAGACAAGAAAAGGAGTAAGCACTTCGGAGGGTAGTTGTCAACATTTGAGGTCAACTAGTACAAACAGACTCCAATTAGACATTCCAGTTACCAGGCATTGGGGTTAACTGTCTGTGGTTAACTCTGACTTGGTTGAGTCTCCTTTGAAATAGGGGCTCACACCGACAGGGTTACGAGAGAAGCATAGGGCATTTGGTACAAAAGCGTTAACAAAATTTGCACGTACATCAAAGGGTGAGATCCGTCGCACAATGCATGACATTGTGTTCAGTTCAAGGAGAATGGAAAAAAAGCTCATGTTACCGTTAGATCCTGAGGCCTTTGTTTTGTGCTGCTGAGGCATTATAGTTAGAAGATACTGTATAAAGAATGCAGCTACGTATAAAAGAATCAATTTCTAGTGTTCATGAGCCTATTTCGCAAATTAGGCTGTCAGATAGATTCTGTGTCAGTAACTTGTCTGAAGGTCACCAAGGGCTACATTTGTGAGTAAAGTTGCTCCATTATTGAGAATTTGTTGGACAAAATTTAGACTATTTTTGAATATGCCAAAAAATCTCTTTCTACTATTGTTGTTTTCTCAGTTTTCCCTTTAAGTGTCATTTTCATTGTTTTGCCTGTAAGAATTATTGAATCATAGCAGTAATGCTATGTGCGCTTATGCCAAAGTGATATGGAATGGAAAGCTAGATTTATACTGCCTGGGGGAATGTTTGAGAGAATTGAAAGGACGTCATGGAGAAGCTCGCAGTGGCTGTACATGCTGTGTTCATACCAGGAATAATGCAGCTGTGAATTGCAATGCTCCTAAAGTCACCTCCTCCCCTCATATATACTCCTTTCTCTATTCAAATCCTACTATGGGATCTTTGATGAACACGCAGACAGGATCTCATTTAGCAAAATCATAGCAGATTCACCACCATAGTTCAAAACTAAGGCTGTGTTTAAGAATTTGTCAAAATTTGGATGGTGTATTAAACTAAAAACACCCAAAAGGAATTTCTCCTTATAGATCTTTTGGGCCATTTGAACTCACGCTTCCAGGCAGGGCGAAACCTTGGGCAAGTTTCCTTACTCCACACGCCTAATAATAATCCCTCCAAAAACCAAAAAAAACAATAATTAAATTGGTCATTTTCAATCTACGACTGTTTGTGGGACATTGCTGTGCGCAATTGGCTGCCGCGTTCGCCCACAAATATACAGTCAATTCACTTTACAGTGTGTTCTGTGAAGCGCTTTGGGACGTCCTCCTGACATGAAAAGCGCTATATCAAATGCAAGGATTATTATTATTATTATTATTATATCAACCCAACCAGTTTCCAATGACTGCAATCTAGATCTGACAACACACACAAAAAAATAATAATAATAATCCTTGCATTTGATATAGCACCTTATCACATCTTCGAGGTGTCTCAAAGTGCTTCAATCAGAAGTATAAAAAGTATTGATGCGAAAGAAGAAAGGAAGATTAGGAAGGCTAAGAGGGATTTGAAAAATCATGGCCTCTTATGGGAAGGGTAATTATAAAGTCTTTTATAAACAAATTAAATTAGAATAGTCAAAGGTGTGGGACTATTTAGAGATGAGACTGGAGGATTCCTAGAGAAGGATATTCAGCAACTACTTGGAGATAATTATGCAAAGGAAAATCTTAACAATAATATTTAATAAAGTAATTTTATAAAGTAATTGGTGATTGACCAATTGTTTTATCTGAGGATTGTTGATCAGGACATCAGGAAAAACTCCTTTTTCTTTTTGAATTTACTGTATGTGCGTCTTTCATCAGTACTTTCAATTCCCGTGTGGTGTGGTTAATTTGTGTCACTAACCCCCTACCCCCAAGTTCTTTTATGTTCTTAGGAATAAGAGTGATTGTATGAAATATTTTACATTTCTGTTGTAAAATACATACAGAAGTTACCAACTACCTATAGTTATTAGATGAAATGAACATTGGTTCCCAAATCAACAATTCTCAAAACCTAGTTCTTCAAGGTTCCTTTACTAAGTCACTTTATAATTGTTATGTACAGATATTAATTACTACACCATAACAATTGCAAGCTGGGACACCCAGCTATCTGGAAGTATCGTTGCTTACCCCTTCCTCAAAGATTCACTTGATATTGGCTTGTTTTAAAAATGGGTTCAGTAGTGGCACACAGAATATGTAGCTAGTAAAGCTAATATTCTGGGTGCTGGACCAAAGCAGATGTTTATGAAAACATAAGATTTGATGGAACCAGAACAGCCACTTGGATCAGTATATCTAATGAGTACATGTCAAATTTGGGTACCATTCTCTAGCTAACTTATGCAATCTCCAGCAGTTGCATAAGTTAGCTGGTGAATGAATTGTCCATGGAGATGAATCTCTGTAAAGTCCCTTATTGATCCTCAACGTAATTGTGCAGAACTCAAGTTTATTGATCTAAAAACTATTATCACTATTGTTCAACTTTGACCAATAGCATGCCATGGATGATATTTCAATGCCTCCACAGTGCACACAGGAATTATCACTTTTCACTGAATATTTGACCATCCATATTCATCATAATCTTCAAGCCTGTTTTGCATTGGATAGATATACAACAATGTTCAATATCTGCGCAAATGGGGATGAACTTCCCTGTGTTTGTGAAAATAATGTGGTTATCAGATAATCTCCCAAAGCCTTATACTAGAAATAGAAAGTTGGTCATTAACTTCAGTTATTTATTGAATATTGCATTATGCAATTCAGCTACCACGTTTGCCTATAAATACACAATCACTACAAAATCCTGTGATTTTGGAGAGATAATGAAAAGTTGTCAAAATAAATTCAAGGAGGATATTAAAGAGGAAATGTTCATCTGGAAAAGACAAGGATCAATATAATTGAAGGAGGCATTCACCAGTGTTTACAGATTAGATTATGAGAGGAAACTCAGAGGAATATAGCCAGCTAAAGAAAGAATTAATACAGAGGAGGGAAATAATGAAGATTAAAGAAGGAAAGGTGGCAGTTAGGGAATGGTTTTCTAGAGAGAATGAAGGAGGTTTGTCGCCGCAGGTACTTCAGTCATTGCTAATAAACAATGACTGGACTCATTCATACCTTGTGAAGCTTCTAATTATAATAATCCTTCCATTTGTTATAATAATAATCCTTGCATTTGATATAGCGCCTTATCATGTTGTTGAGACACCTCAAAGAATATACTGAAAACTGAATTTACTCTATTTTGATATAGCGCCTTATCATGTTGTTGAAACATCTCAAAGTGCTGTAAAGTGTAATGACTGTGCATGTGTACACAAATGACTGAATATATATTAACTGTTTGAATCAGCTGGTCCAGATAACTCAAGCTATAGACAGTATAACAATAATACTACATGCATTTGATATAGCCCCTTATTGCCTTGTCAAGACTCCTCAAAGAGCTTCAAAGGATATACTGTAGTGTGAAGTGTGCATTTTGTGGGGGAATGCACAGCCAATATTAAGCCCTCGGGGACGTTGCCTTGTGCGAGGGGCGCTATGTAAATTCAAGTTGTTGTACTTTATGAGAGGGAGGGGGAATTAAAAGTAGCATTTTACCAGAAGGCGTGCTCAGTCTGTGAACATGATGTTAGCAGTATTGTGAAAAATGCTTAGAAACAACTTTTACAATATTCAGAACCACACTTATACAATCATAAAAGCACAGAATTTGCAGCTTGGAAGAAAGCTATCTTTATTCAGCCCATCATATCTGTGTTGTCTCTTTGAAAGAGCAAACCAGCTAATTCCCTTTACTTGTCTATCATCTTACTCCTGCAACTTACACCTTAATATATTCATATGAGATAATAATGAATTCTTGTTACATGGCTGTTTGTGGATCTCTTAACAGATGAAGAGAAATTGTGGTTATTTTAATTGTGCCTAAAACTGACAAGAGCCAACACCACTCCTCTATCACCTGAACAGAAATATACTTGTGTACATAGATGCTGAATTACTGCTGAAACAAAGTTTTAGATTGCTATGTTAAAAACAAAATTCATAGTTATAATGCCAGGTGTCAAATTGGCTCAATTGGTAACAGAATCTTATGGGTTCAAACATTATGTTAGGACTTTGAGTTTATTGTCTGTGACACTTCAGTGCAGTGTTCTGGCTCATCAATACAAATATTTTTGAACAAATTAAGATAATAATAATAATAATAATAATAATCCTTGCATTTGATATAGCGCTTTTCACGTCGGGAGGACGTCCCAAAGCGCTTCACAGAACACACTGTAAAGTGAATTGACTGTATATTTGTGGGCAAACGCAGCAGCCAATTGCGCACAGCAATGTCCCACAAACAGTCGTAGATTGAAAATGACCAATTTATTATTGTTTTGGGTTTTTGGAGGGATTATTATTAGGCGTGTGGATCAAGTATTACGATAAATGTAACAACACAATGTAAAACCTTTTAGTGGAACAGAAAGATACCTAATGCACTGTGGCAGATACTTACTGTGAAGAGTGAATGTAGTTGTGCCATGTTGCACGGCTATGGATTTGGGGGCTTTAGCAATATCACCTGAGCAGGCTTGCATTTAATCAATCAGAATGCAATTTAGTGCAACACTGCATCATCCTGAGACTTGGACACACATTTGCTGGACAAGAAAGTTTCACTAATCACCACAGCTGTCAGACCGGTCACACTTGCTGCTATATTTATTTTGAGTCATCAGCTATATAGTACCTGGATTTGCAGACCAGAAAGGTGTCTGTAAATGATGTCAAGTTAGGGAAGCTCTGAAATCAAGACAATATATTTAATCTCTCCTCATAGTCCAGTCTCTCCATTTCCTCAATCATTCTGATTTATCCCATAATCTTTTTGTACTGAGGCAGCCAGAACTATACACAGTATTCTAAGTATGGTCTCACCAATGATTTATACAGTGGCAGGATTACCCCACTGTTTCAGCTTGCTATTGATCTTTTGATACATCCTAATATCTGGTTTGCTTTATTCACTGCCACAGAGCATTGTTGCAAGAGCTTCAAGTTATTATTAATCAGTACACCCAGGCCTTTAAGTTTTCCATACATATTATTTTCCTTCCATTCAAATAATAGCCCATTCCTAGATTTTTGTCACCATGTTAAGTCATTTATATTTTTCCACATTGAATTTCATCTGCCATCGATCTGCCCAATTCCCAAGTATGTTCAAATCCTCCTGTAACCTATCTTGTTCAGCTTTGCAATCTACCACCTTCATTACCTTGGTCTTATTAGCAAACATAACCACTGTGCTTGCGACTCCTAGTTCCAGATCATTTATAAAAATATGAAAGAGGTTCCAAAACAGACAGTTGTGGAACTCCACTGGTGACATTTTCCCAAGACATTCCCTGTACCACCACCCTCTGGGCTCTTCTGTTCAAGCAGTTATGTATCCATTGTAATATTTCCACTGATTCTCACTTTGTCTACTTTCAGTACCAGCCTCTCAAGAGGAACTGTATCAAAGGCCTTACTGAAATCCAGATATACATCCAAAGCCTTACCCTTAACAAACTCCCTTGTCACACCATCAAAGAAAACCAGAAAATTAGATTGGCAAGACTTCCCCTTCATGAACCCATATTGGTTATCATTTATAACTTTATTCTGGCCAGGTGTTCTGTGATTTTATCCATAATTCTTCCCACAATGGACGTCAAACTTACTGGTCTAGAATCCTGGGTCACTCATTACCCTTAAAAATAGGAGTAACATCTGCCTTTCTCCAGTCCCCCAGTATCTCCAGTGTTCAGTGATTTCTGAAAGACTTATGCCAGCATTTCTGCAACTTCCTCCCTTAGTTCCTTAAGGATCCTCGGATGCATTTATCTAGCCCGAGATTTGTTTATAAGTTTGCATAGATGTTTGGCAACCACGTTGGCAGTGATATGAATAGTGTCACAACTTTCCTCTGTGACATCTTTAGAGTTCTCTTTCCTGATCAGAAAGGTTACCTGTCCCCTCCTTAGTAAAAACTGATGCAAAAAAAAAAAGCTTTAGCACTATTGCAGCCTGTGCAACATTATTTGAATCCACCTTCAGTGGCCCTATTCCATTACTTGTTTTTCTTCATCTCTTACTGTAACTGAAAAACATTATTATCCTTCACATCTATTGCCATGTTCAATTCAAAGAATTTCTATGCCATTCTGATGCCTTTTTTATAGTCCTGGCATACCTTCTGGTATCAAATCTGACTTAATTCTGTGCCACTTTTCTTCACGGTCTTAAATGCCTTTATTCCCCTCGATGAATTGCTTTGTAGCCAAGTTCAACTAGGCAGGAGTGCCTTTAAGCTTTGTATCTTTGCATGGGTATACATTGTTCCTTTGCCTTCATAATCACCTCCTTGAAAGAATTCCATAGTTCCTCCACTCCCTTCAGCATATTTAAGCTGCCCAGGCCCACTTTGAGAACTCAGACTTCTTAAGTGCACAAAATCAGTCCTCTTGAAATTTGGCAGCATTGCTTTGAGTTTTTGATAACCTCACCAATCCTCGTGAGGTCAAATGCGATTGCTGTTGCTTAATGCTTCTCCCACCTTTATGTTTGAAAGACAAGTCTTACAACATTCATTTTATATTAAGAATGGTTGCATGTGATCCAATGTTTTGATACAGTTAACTAGTCATCATTTTACAAGATGAACGGTTCTAGCATTTGGCACACTGGTGTGAGGGTAGTACACATTTCACTCTTAATAGCTCTTCTGAACAATTATTAGGATATTGACAATTTCTGTTGAACTTTTGGCCCATTGTACTTGAACCTATAACTTCTGTCTCCAATCTTCAAAGCAGATGTAAATAAGGACAAGGTCACTTGCCCTGGCTTTGGAGTCAATTCATCTCTTCTGTTAGACGATTTACCATAAACCAAATAAGAAAATGCCTTTATTTTAATTTGAGACTTGTACATAACAGGTATTACAGGAATACAGCAACAGAAGTAAACACTAATTACTGTTCAAGTATGTACACTGCATGAAGTAATTAAGCCATTAATGAGCATAGTTGACTGATTTTGTAGTAAAGGATTCCATTCGACAGGTAAGGCCATGGTATTGCAAGCTCTTGGGACACCAGCCTCAAAACGAGAGGACAGTCCGGATGCTGAGAAAAGTAGAACAAGAAAATAAATTAACCACCACCTTTGGCAAAGATAAACAATGAATCTCAATGATGATGTTTAATGCTTCTGTACTATTATTGTAGACTTCTATAGAGATATATTAAAAATGTCTCAACACTGAGACAAATGTCATCCAAAAATTACTCCACTTATAAAATTCTGTTCCAAATAATTCCAACAAATTATATCACAAGCCAAGAGAGAACAAAAAAAAAATACCCCTTTCCAGCATGCATGAGCTCAAAACTTTCATTGATCTTGTCAAATGGGAGTTTGTGAGTTACAAACTCATCCACCTTTATTTTCTTAGCCATGTATTCCTGCACAAGCTTGGGCACACTTTCCACGCTTTTCCACCCTGCATAGCAAATAGAGAAACACCATCAGTCCAACTCAGTCAGTGACCATCTTCACAAGGCGTCAAAGTGCATCTTTCTTTCTTCCTCTCCTCCCTGAACATTTTCTCTGCAGATCCAGTCACTGTTGTACTGCAGAGCTTCTGATATTTATATGTACCCAATTGATAGCTAGATGAACCCAAGGCAGGCTTTTAACTGCATTAATCTTCCCACATTTCAGTTGAGGGTAAGAAGAGTATTCAAATGAAAAGAAAGAAAATGTGGTAAAATTGAGCGTTTAAAAAATACATACGTGCACTGGACAAAGTTTCTCTGAATCCAGCAAGTCTCAAATGTTTATATAGGTACATATACTCTAGGAGTGCAGATACTGTGAGTGGACAGGATAGACTACTCACAATTATGGGAATCCTGCAATGCAACTTATTGAAGGAAACATTGAGGAGAGGAAAGAGAGACTGTGATCGCATGAGACAGTAAAGAAAGCTAGATGGAGAACAGCAATTTTTTTTATAAATATGAAAAATGTATTACCAGCCAGGCTCAGTTTAGTGGATGTTACTAATGCTCAGTAATCTGCAAAGTGAAATAGCGACTGAACAGATGTTAGTGGTGACACGCAGAATCCAAAGTAGTATCTGAACAAACCTGTAAATATAGTATATAAAGTGCAAAGTACTGCATGTCAGTATTCTAGACCTTACTGCCTGCTCTCATTCACCATTATGTGTCTTGCACACAGTTGAAGATTTTACCTCCAAACGCTGTGCCTTTCCACGTGCGGCCAGTCACCAGCTGGAAGGGTCGAGTTGCGATCTCATGTCCTGAAGGTGCAACCCCTATGATCACACTGGTTCCCAGCCTTTATGACAGGCTTCCAATGCAGCTCGCTACCAGGTTGTTGAGGGAAGGCGAAAGAGGGGAGGGAAAGAATGAGTTTAATGAGTTTAAATAAAGTTAAGTGATCAAATTAGACAAACATTCACCAAGAAAATAAAAATAACCGAGCACATTATACAGTATTCTATCAAACGAGACAGCAAAGCATTGCATTCTCATTGAGCACTAGCTCAAACATGCAGTTGCATCCGGCTCTGAGTTACTAGACCAAAAAAATCCCTCATTTGTACAAACATGAATCAAATTGCCAGAAAATCCAAAAGGTGAGCAAGCAGACACATCAGGACCTCTTTGATACTTTAGAGAATGAGGCATCCTTTGACCCCTTAAAACTGGGATTAAAAAAATCAACCTACTCTGATGGGATAAAGGCTCCTCTCTCTACTGGTTAATAGCCTTCCCCATCTCTAATCTTCTCACTCTTCTGCTCATCCTCTGCTGTGCATCCCTCATGTCACCACTGGTGGCCAAGCCTTTAGCTACTAAATTCTGAAATTACTTCTCTCAACCCTCTGCGTCTTGACTTTAAATCCAATCTAAAAACCTCCCTTTCTCCCTTGCCTGGTCTTTGTGAAGTGCTCCCAGACATTGTCTTACACAAAGAGTGCTATATAAATGCAAGTTGTTATTGTCCTTCTGGCATGTCTCAACCCAACAGCTAGTGTATACATGTTCACTGCACAGCAGTCTACATCAGAGAAGCCACAACGATTGGTGAAGGAATAAAAATACTCAAAGCTTTCCTGAAGTTGGAGCTAAAGAAATGGTTAGGAGGTACAGAAGAACAGTATCTCAAGCACTCACCATCACATTCACATTACCGATGCACTCAAAAGAGTAGTCCACTCCGCCGTCTGTCAACTCAACCAACACCTCTTGAATTGGTTTCTCATGATCTTTGGGGTTGATGCATTCAGTTGCACCAAATTCCTTGGCAATCTTAAATTTGTCTTTATTAACGTCAATCCCAATGATACGAGAAGCACCAGCTGCTTTGCATCCCATAAGAGTCGCAAGACCCACTCCACCCAGACCAAACACAGCACAGGTAGAGCCTGACTCAACCTAGTGGAGAAATGATTGAGACAGATTAAATAGTTACAAAAAACAGCAAAAATAGTTTACAAAATCACTTCACCACCATCACGTGATTTTGTTTTGTGGGGGAGGGGGTTTAGCAAGGTATCACACACGTAGAAGCCTATCACCGTGCTTAAAAGCATCTAAATAAGAAAGCTCAACACACTTACGCACCTATACATAGAATTCCCCAGTCTCTAGAATGGAACACACCCTCTCCCACGGAGGGACACGTCTGCTTCACCCAATTCTAGACAGCATTAGGTACAGTTTGGCAAGAGCCAAACCTTGAGTGTGTTGGGTACTTCTGAAGTTTAACAATTTAAAACCACTTAACTTGACATTGAGCATACTGTTTGGCAAACTTCCTACTGCTTGTCCGGCAAGGACCACTCTACCCGTTGGAGGTTTGGGTTGTTGGGTAACAAGACCTGAGTGGGAAGAATCCTAGTGACTAAAGTATTCCCTCCAAATCCTGCCGATGAGTCAAGCTGGTTAGTCTGTCATTATCAGTGCCCTGGAGTAGAGTGGGTCCATCTGGCTCAGGAAGCAGACTACTACTACACTGAGGATTAACTCATTCTCTTGCTGAACACATTACCTGGGAGCAGCTCAGTTCCAAGGTTTACCTCCTCCCAGGAGGGTACTTTGAACCAACTGGAATCAAAGATTAACTCATTAACCTTTAGACTCCAGTATCACCTAAGTCAAAATGCAGCTGTCATGTTTTTATAAAATACAAGGACACGATGAGGAAAGGAAAGAAATAGAAGTTCATACCTTGGCAGTATTGAGGGCTGCACCATAGCCAGTAGAAATACCACAACCCAGCAAGCAGACCTTATCCAGTGGAGCAGCAGCATCAACCTTAGCGACAGAGATGTCAGCAACAACTGTGTACTGGGAGAAGGTGCTGGTCCCCATATAGTGGAAAATCTGCTTCCCTTTGCAGGTAAATCTGCTTGTCTTGTCGGGCATCAAGCCCTGGCCCTGGGTAACCCTGGCAAGAAACAAACAGTGACCATCACACCAGCCTTACACTCACCAAAGAACAGATCACAACAACATGCACACAAGTATGCCAAAGTCAAGACAAGCTTCTACAGGACACTAGATAAACTCCAAGACACTACCCCATTTGGGAAGGGTGGCTTTGGGAAGTGTGCTATATCAATGCAAGTTTCCGTTACTCTTAAGCATGGTAAAGGGTTTCCAGTCACCCAGCTAAGTAGAACAAAAGTGTACAGAAGTTTATATTAGAACTGCAGAAACATTACTGTAAGCAGATATAATGGCATTGCCAGTATCAAAAGCAAAGTCCTAAAAAAACATTTTTAATTTTTTTAAAAAAAATTCAAGGATTTAAATGTTCTAGACAAGTTACAAAACCATTTTACCCACAATTACCCATCCATAATAAATAAGGAAATGTAAATCGAGAACCGGCCAAAGTTTAGAAGATTAAAAGAAGCAGCTTTAGCAAACAACCAGCAGACTGGTTAGAACCAGACAAAACCAGAGATTTGTACTCAAGGTACTGCAGCAATCGGCAATTGAATAAACATCAGAGAGAGAGAGGTGATACACTCATGTTGCCTGTCCCCGAAGCACTGCCCTCACTCTCCCTCAAGAACCCCAGTGTTTAGATGAGTGTTTCACCTGAACTTTGAACAAATCAATTTTCCTCCATATCCACATATACACACACCAGAAAAACAAACACACACGCTGACCTCTGCCATGGCTTTCCACCTAATATAGCCAAAACCCTCTCCTAGGTCTTTGACAGTTGCAGCTTTCCCATTGCCTGCTCAGTGGCCTCCCAAAGCTGCAGCCTCCCCAGCTCCAGATCATCCAAAATTTCACACACCATATTTATAATAATAATCCTTGTATTTTATATAGCTCCTAAACATTCCATTCAGACATCTCAAAGCACTTCACAGGATATACTGTAAAGTGAATTGACTGTATATTTTTGGGTGAAACACAACAGCCAATTGCACACAGCAGTGTCCCACAAACAGCTGTGGATTGAGCGACCAAATAATTAATTTTTTTTTGAAGGGATTAATGCCCCCAGAAATCGATCTGCCAATCGACTAACTGCTACTTACCGCTAGGTAAACAGAGGCGTATGGAGTAAGAAAACTTGTCTAAGGTTTTGCCCTGCCCAGGAATCGAACCCAGGTCCTCTCACTTGCGAATCAAGCGCTCTAACCATTTATTTGCTCCTCCGCCAGGCTCTGTGAGCCCATTACCCGGCTCCACTGACACTCTATCCCAGTAAATTGACTTCGTAAATTCAAATCCCTCCATGCTCTTGTTCTGGCCTTCCTCTGTGATCATCTGTGCCCCAAATCCCTTGGCATCCTATTTGCTCTGCCAACTCCAGTCTACATTATGAGCCTCTCCCCCACCCCCAACAGCTGCATTCAATCACTGCCCCTGCCCGCAGGAACTTTCTCCTTAAATCCCTCCATTTCTCTCCCTCCCTCCTTTCAAAATCCATCTAAAGACCCGTCTTTTCTTTGACCTCACCTTCAGCCACTTCCTACTTATCTCCTCCAACCTACTCCTTATCTCCTCCCTCCCCAACATAGCCAACTCACTGAGGCGGTGTCCAGATATTTTGTTCTACAAGCAAACAGATGTACCTGATCTTCTGGCAGAGGTTTGTCTTGGGATTCAGGCAAAACTTGCATTCTCCACACTGTGGGATGTAAAGTGGAATCACTCGATCCCCTGTTAAAAAAAAAATCCAGATAGTGGCAGGTGTCTCCAGGATTCAATAAATATAAAAACTGGGAGAAACAAAGAGTAAGGGATAACCTCCAGAGGAACACAGAATTTAATTCTACTTTTTATATCCACTGCCAACGTCAAGTAATTAAAGACCTTGCCAAACAATCTCACATGCAGATACACTTAATTCTTATGTATAGTCTAGTGTTTTTCATGTCAGGAGGATGTCCCGAAGTGCAGAGACTGTGTTATGTGGTCAAATGTAGAAACACTGACATGTTCAGCGCAGGAAGCCGTGCAGCCCACCTTTTAGCAGGGTGTCCAGACAGTGATCAGTAGTAGAAATCCTGATTGAGGTTTTCCCTCCCTAATGCAGTGCACTGAGGCCGATCTTAATGCCTGAATTGCTACCCAGCTTATCCTTGTCAATTCAGACCTGGAACCCTTTGGTCTATATGACTCAATATACAACCAGAAGTCACTCACCCACTAAGCCACCAGAGGAATTTTGCAACAATATCTTAGTCTAGGAATTGAAAGTACTTTACATGATTTCATAACTTTTCATATATTAAGAAAACCAACCAATCTGGTCACAGCACCTTATACATGTGGAGTCCTGTAGCTCAGTGGTTAGAGCACTCGCTTTGCAAGTGAGAGACCTGAGTTCAATTCCAGGCAGGGCGAAACCTTGGGCAAGTTTCCTTACTCCACACAGAGCCTAATAATAATCCCTCCAAAAAACCAAAAACAATAATAAATTGGTCATTTTCAATCTACGACTGTTTGTGGGACATTGCTGTGCGCAATTGGCTGCCGCGTTCGCCCACAAATATACAGTCAATTCACTTTAGTGTGTTCTGTGAAGCGCTTTGGGACGTCCTCCTGACGTGAAAAGCGCTATATCAAATGCAAGGATTATTATTATTATTCATGTTCCAACAGCACATACACTCAGAAAAAAAACATACAACCTTCCCTTACCTGCTCTGACACAAGTCACTCCCTCTCCAACACTCTCCACTATCCCACTTCCTTCATGTCCAAGAATCACCGGGAACAATCCTTCGGAATCAGAGCCACTCAGGGTGTAAGAATCGGTGTGACAAACACCAGTGGCGACAATCTGTCAGGCAACAACAGGCAAATTTAACAATATTCCTTTTTCTACCTTAAAAATTAAGGACACGATCTTTAAAAGAAAAAGGAGAATCTCATTTCTCAAATCTTTGCAAATGAAACTTTCCATTTGGTTTCGTACCTTAATGCGAACTTCATGAGCCTTTGGGGGAGCAACCTCCACCTCTTCAATAGACAGCGGTTTGCCTGCCTCCCATGCTACCGCAGCCTTACATTTGATAACCTGTGAAAGCAATGAACAGGTTACAGCTGCACGCAAACAACTTCACAGTTACTTGCCTGATATCCCATTAAGAGAAACAGAGCACCAATTGTCTTTAAACACGCTGCTATAATGCTTCAAGTTAGAATAATAATCCTCACAGCCAATATAGCATTTCTCGTTATTGAGATGTCTCAACGTGCGTCACTGGATATACTGGAAGGAGACTGTAAGAGACTGTATTTTGTATGTGAAACACAGCAGCCAGTTTTCATAGTAATGTCCCACAAACAGCCATCGAGTGAGTGATCAATTTTATTCAGGGTATTGCTGGCCGGGACACTGGGAGAGAGAAACTCCCAGAAGAGCAAATTTTCATATAATGAGTGGCTGGATAATCAAAGGAACAAAATGTGGGGAGCAAGGAGACGCAATTTTTTTAAATATAAATTTCCTGGGTCCAATTATTTTTCTCCTTGTTAGCATATCGAACCATAGAAAATTCACAACATAGAAGAATGTTGGGCCCATCTTGTCTGTACTGTTTTTTGAGAGATCTATCCATTCAGTCCCATTTAATAATAATAATAATAATCCTTCCATTTGATATAGCGCTTTTCACGTCGGGAGGACGTCCCAAAGCGCTTCACAGAACACACTGTAAAGTGAATTGACTGTATATTTGTGGGCGAACGCAGCAGCCAATTGCGCACAGCAATGTCCCACAAACAGTCGTAGATTGAAAATGACCAATTTAATTATTGTTTTTGTTTTTTTTGAGGGATTATTATTAGGCTCTGTGTGGAGTAAGGAAACTTGCCCAAGGTTTCGCCCTCTGCCTGGAATTGAACTCAGGTCTCTCGCTTGCAAAGCGAGTGCTCTAACCACTGAGCTACAGGACTCCACAAGGAGTCTTTACCTGCCTACAGGACTTTACCTGCCTTTCCCCACACTCCGACATTATAGTGAACATTACAACTGTGTCAGCAGGTCAATGAACTCTAGCAGCCTTCACACCAAAGCCTGA